CTGACACCTCCAACTAGCTAGAATTTGAGTTTTCAGTGTTAAATAAGCTTGATGTTGACTGTGTTTCTGGGTATTTTACTCAGTTGTTTGACCTTGTTTCAGGCTTCTGTGTTGACATGGCACTCTGCTGGAGTGGTCCATGCCAAGTGCATGCGTGATTGGCCAATCTCCTAGCCGGGGAGGGGGTGGTCAGAGGACTTCTGGCCGCTAGGACTGTCTTTGAGTCACTGCGGGCATGTTTTTGCGAATTCGGTTATATATATAACTAACTGCAGACAGTACTGTTTCGGCCTTTTGGGTCTCATTAGTGCAGTGCTGAAGGCTAGGATGGAGGCCAAGTTTAAAAAGCCGCCCCAAATACTACACATGTGGTAGTATCCAAGCCATTACCAGAGTGCTCAAACTAGCGAGCTAGTGAGCATGCGCAATTGCAGCAGTAACGACTTATCCCAGTAGAGTGCTCAAACTGGACATGAAAGCAGAGCTTTGTATGCCAGCGAGCTATATCTAACTGCAGACAGTACTGCTTCGGCCTTCTGGGCCTCATTGCTTATTGGAACTGAGCGATAGAGGCCACGGTAATCATACTGAAGTTGATTTGAGTTGTGACGTCGCTTATGTGTTAGGGGAGATTGGGGTCACTGTGACGTTTGGTATTTAATAGTACTAAGTACACATAAGACTTTGCTACTGAGTAACACACTGCATTAAGCCCTACAGCACAGCATTGCTTACAAGAACAGTTGTCTTCTTCTCTTACACTGTTCACTGCTGTTATTTCATATGTACTAATCTGCACTCCTCTGAGTTCCTAATTGTCACCGAGTAAGTATATAGTCTGGAAATACCATACTAATGGATGGTACTTCTAATAGTACACATGTACCTGAGGGATGGCTTCTAATATTCATCTCTTGCATGAGAATCAAACGTCTTATAACTCCTGTTATTAGTATGATAGATACAGACACCAATGCATTCTATTGTCAAAATAAATGACGATTAATTTTGTGACAAGAGTGATTAAAAAAAACAGACATAGATTACTGCACTGGTACCCCTCAATTATTGACTTACAATTACAATTAGTAGATTACCAGTGTAGCTTTCATTATACTTAAGCTGGTACTTTTTCTCAAACACAGCAGTCATTGACGGTAATTCTGTTTGCATTTTAGAAATATATCTGCCCAGTACATCGTGACAGTGTTGAATACAATTGATTACCATCTCCATAATTTGTACCAGGTCATTACAGCTATGTATTCCTAAGTCAAAGCACTCAAACTCATAGCAACACATTGTTTTCCAGCATTTTCACCAAAATACATAATATCATCTTGACTATATGGTGCCTTGATTGTTAGAGTAGGATCAATACTATGTATACGAGGCCCTGGATTTGTTTCAATGCCATTACACAGATTCAGTGAAGCACAATGACCTGTGTGGCACTCATTCTTGTACACACTTAATGATGTATTACAGCTACACAAAGACAGATATTTGCCCAAAGACTCTCTACAACTCAACGATTTTGGATGCAGTGTTAACCGTGTAGAATGTTACTTCTTTCTCGTCTTTTGTATTAGCTTGATACTGTCATAATCGCTCCTTGTTCTAAGCTAAGTCTGCAAATCATGGGTCATGTTGCCGCTCTCGTAAGGCCTCACACGAATGGCTTGAAACCCTTTGAGAGGACAATAGGACAAACAACAGAAACAATGCGCCTAGCCCCAAAACGATAACAGCTGTTGCAGTGACGACAAATAGAATTACAAGCTTAAGAGAGCTGTTGCAATACCGAATTTATGTAGCGATACGACACAGGAATGTTTTTAAGAATTCACCTGCACACTTTTTTTTGCTGTTTTTAGGTGAAAGCTTGTCTAGTTTTTTTCTTTTTCTGTTTTTTTTTTTTTCTTATTCTGTTTTTTTTGTTTGTTTGTTTGTTTTTGTTTTGTTTGTTTGTTTGTTTTTTAACAAGCATTCTGCTGGGCTAACGATCGAATCGTCTTCGCACGTGGTACTCACGATTGTTAATGATACAATTAACAAACATCGCATAAAGAGACCTGAATTATTCCGCATATTTTATTTCCTTTCCAACATGATGTTGTTGTACACATAACGCTGATTCGTCACGCTTCTGTTGTATATATAGCGCTGCTTTGCCCAATACAGCACATTCACCTGACACCACGTTGCTTGATACCACACAAACATTCTGCACAACATGCGAATATAATATACACACAAAAGCGACAAAACCAATGACACAAATACAGAAGTAACAGCTGATAATGTACTTTGTTTTTGAGCGAAAACACAACAAATGTAATAATCATAACAGAGGTCACATCAATATGAAAATTACGTTTATCTTCACTCTGATGAAAGCCACTTTTGCAGTCCAACATGGCATCTTTATTGTCGTTCCCTTGAGTTTGATCACGAGGCACCTTGTCTTTATCAGCACCTAAAACGTTCGTAAATGTTCTTCTGTCGTCTGTATTAACGCTCTGTTCACATTTCCTGTTCATTGATAGCTCATTTTCTAACATATTCGACATCATTCTTTCGTGGAAAGATGGAGCCTTTATTACGTGTCTGCGGTATTGCCCATTGCACGTGACTGAGCTTTGACAGGGAATAAGAGGGTAAACCTATAGTCGGCTTTCGCCCGGCTTTCCTAGTTTTAAATTAATAAATAAGTAAGTGGGTAGGTAGGTAGGTATCGTTTATATTCGCTGATAGACAGCGATCGCGCGTACGCTGTTCTTAAAAATACACAACATCGCTGGTTTTGTGCTGTAATCCTTTAGAGTGTTTACTAAAACAATTTTTATTACCCTTGTTTTCCAGGAACGATTGTCAACTCGGCTACGCCTCGTTGGTTATTCGCTCCTAGAAAACTCAGGGTCGTAGACTAGTTGATTAGTGTGCACTTGCTATAGTTCGTGAACAGAATTGCGACGTTTTCTTGTTTCTCTAAGCTTCTCTAAAGGAATACCTGTAATCACTACTTGATAATTAAATCAAATGAAATTCCTGAAGAAACTTAAAGAAGGGCATGTACCATTACAGCTCGGCTTTGAAAGCTTCAGACTGATCGGGATGGGCGCACCCACACAGCTGCAGCGAAGACGAAGCTCATAGTCCAGAATTAAAGAGACATGCAGACAACCATGTAACCAAAGACGTTCTGCGAGAGTGTATTCAGGCTAACTATCACTATTAGCCCCTTTATTCGCTACTAGCCATTGCGTTTTTGAAGGTATCTTAGAAGTAGTCTCCCACTCAGATGCTCTTTGGGCTCGTCACGCAAAGAGCGTCTGGGTAGGAGTCTCCCCTATAAGTTGCCTTGCGTGTAACAGTTTGTAACAGCACCGTTCCATTTCAGACTTGCTGCACAGGAGGAGTGGGAATCAAAGCGGCTCGCCAAGAATCATTATTCGACAAAGGCGTTTGTGTAAATGTAAGTGATAATCCAGGAAGATAGTGGGTTGCAACTGCTTTTAATGGTTCTGATGAGCTTGGTTTTTGATCCAAGGGGGGGAGGGGTGGGTGAAGGGGGTACTACCTTATATTGACTGAACAGGTATGTGCAGTGACTATACAGGGTATGGGGTTTTAGCCGTTTTGGGCCCAATTACTGTATCGATTTTGTCCATTCTGGTCTCAAATAGGGTATGGTTTTTGCACTATGGTCTTGAAGTTGGTATGCTGTTTAGAAGAAACTACATTTTCACAAGAGATTCATCATTATCGATAACACCATCAAAAAAAGCCCTTTACAACGCCTTTAACATCGGTCTGAATGAGGAAACTAGTTCTAAGACAGGTCTGAACCAGGACATTGATTTAAGTATCAGGTCTTTACAAGAGCCATAATCGGGGACGGAGACCGTAAGTCTTGGGATCCGCGCGCACCTATGATATGGGACAATTTTTCTATTTTTAGAACAAATTGCGCCATC